TGTGTCCCTGAAACATGCTAAGTGTGCAAATCCAATGAGCGCTGGAGCAGGGAGGGGGTTCTCAGTTTGGGTCAATCACAGCCTTTGCTCTAAACCACTAGCATCGACTGCAGAGGCTTTATTTCTAATATTCTTAATCTCTTGGCCCAAAGAAGGATGAGATACTATGTTTGTGTGCCACATTGAGGAATTGGGTTAGTTGCCTTGGGAAAGGAGACATCCATCTAAAAAAACCAGTCTGCGGTGGAGAGGCCAGAACCTCCCCCACCACCTGGGTTCCCTTTCGCTGCCTCGCTAAAGCTCAACGTGAGAAGTGCACTTACTGAACATCTCTCTATAAGGCAATAAACACTTATTGACTGCATCCGCTGTGCAAGGGGCCTTAAAAATAGCATCTTGGGTGATTATTTAGGTGCTAAGTGCAGCCGTTAGGAGGAGCTAAAGAAAGAATCAGACTCTTCACCAGCAAGGGGGTCTCACAGGGAAGAAGACTTATCTCACATATTAGGTTGAATTCCCCGTTTCACATGCCCATTGCATGGATCTGACCTTGCATATGCTTTTGCATGACCGTTTTATTAATGTCTCCTCTAGTAGACTGCAAAGTGGCTCACTCTGCACCCCTAGTCTCTAGCACTATGCATGGCATACGGTAGCTGCTCTATTGATTTGGAGAATGGAAAAAAAAAAACAAAACCCACCACCACCACCCACAAAAACAACACTGTGATGCTGTATCTGTGAGTTCAAATAAAACAGAATTATTAAGGGAACCCTGTGCTTACGAATGAGTGATTCTAATGGTGGAGATTTCAGGTGCTTTGAGACACATATTCTGGGCAAAGGTTCTTTTGGTTTCCCAAGTCTCACTGGTAAGGTGGCTGCCAGCTTGGTTTTAAGACCATGGTCTTTTATTTATCTATTTATTTATTTGAGTTGGAGTCTCAAGTCTCACTCTGTCACCCAGGCTGGAGTGCAGTGGCACACTCAACGGTCACCCCAGCATCGACCCACTGGGCTCCAGTGATCCTTCCGCCTCAGCCTTCCAAGTAGCCAGAACTACAGGTGTGTGCTACCACTCCTGGCTAATTTTCTAGTTATTGTAGAGACAAGTTCTCGCCAAGTTGCCTGGGTTGGCCTCAAACTAGCGGGCTCAGACAATCCACTCACCTCAGCCTCCCAAAGTGCTAGGATCACAGGCTGAGCCTCCGAGCCCGGCCACGGTCTTTTATTGTTTCTTTGGCTTTTGTTAGCATCATCCCAGGCCTCCATTCAATTAAAATCTTAAAACATTCAAGGACATCAGAAGCCACTTATGTCAGTGGTTTGGGTCCCATAGTGTCTTTAGTGACTAAAAATAGCATCACTCTTGTGAAACAACCCTGTGACCCCTGACTGCAATCACTACTTTTGTATTAAATGTGGATATATGTTTAGAAAGAATCTCAAAAGTAGATTCTTTGGCATCAGGGTGTTTTGAACTTGCTATTTCTGAACACAGGTGTTTGTTTAAGCTGCAATGCTCTCAGGAGCACCTTTTAAGCAGCATCCTGATATAAGGCAATGGTTTTGGACCTGGGACCCACTTATTCCTAAGTGCAGGCTGAGCACAGGGTCACGGAGAGCTCAAATTCTACTTTAATCAGATTCCATTCTACGAAATGCTCCCTTAATGAGGGTTAATGATATTAATTACTGTCCCCTCCACTTAAGAACATGCTCAAGAGGAGCTAATTGTCACATAATGGCCCAGGACAGCTCAGATCCTAGCAGAGCTCTGAGGAGGGGTCTGTGTCGCCTCCTTCCACCAGTCCCTCCCCCCTGTCCACCCTGTGATCACCCTCTTTCCATTTCCTCCCATAGGGGCTGTCATGTTTCCTATCCCTGCATTGGTCAGAAGTGGGAATTGTAGCACATGGCTGTGTGACCTTTGGGTTTTCAGCATGGGGACTTTGGGTTTTCAGTACAGGTCATCAACAGGCTGCTGGAGTGAGCGATCTGTTCTGTGGATGACAGGGTGGACACCGCTGTCCTACATAGCCGATGTGACGAGTGCCTCTTTAGAGGACAGTATAACAATAGCTACCTGCATGAAAATTGCACAGGCAGTTTGGCCCAGTAATTTCCTTTCTAGGAGTTTATCCTATGGGATTTTTGGGATATCCATCAAGAATATATAAGGGCATTTTATGCAGCATGAATGGAATAGCAAAAGGGTGAAAATAATCTGATTGTCTGTGAAAGAATGAACTGACTAAATAAATTGTGATAAAGTGGGTATTATGGCGGGAATAAAAATTGAGGCCAGTCTACATGGACTGATGTTAAACAATATCCAAGATACATTGTTAAGTGAAAAGAGCAAAGGAGTAGAGCAGTATAAGGTATGTTACCGTTTGTGTAAAAAAAGTGGAATATGTGTGTGTATATACACATGTATACACCCCTCCCCAGACCCAGCCACATGCAAAGCAGGAGGCTGTGATGTAAATACTGGCATGTGCTGAGCTATGGTATGTGGGTTCTTGTGGAGTTTGCAGTGACACACAAGAGATCTGATGTGTGGGTGTCTGCAACCAGAAAGCAAGGCTGGCTGATGCGGGCCAAGGTTTCAGATGGGGCTCAATGCCCCTCTGTGGAAATAGAGCACAAATCTTCAATGGGAAGGGCAGAGAGTCATCATTTGGGAGAAAAGAGAGTTACCATGGAAATCACATCTCCATGCTAGTGTCCTGGGAGAAAGGGAGTAAGCACACTGAAAGGATATTTAGCCATTGCTAGCAGTTTTTAGACTCAAGTTACTCTAAAGCTGTACTGTTCAATGCATTAGTCACACTAGCCAAGTGTGACTATTTAAATTGAAATTAACATTGAATAAAATATAAAAAAAATTCAGTTCTTTGGTTGCACCAGCCACATTTCTAGTGTTTAGTAGCCACATGTGGCTATTGGCTATTCCCATTGGGAAAGCACAGATCTAGAACTTTCTATCATTACAGAAAGTTCTATTGGATGGTGCTTTAAAGCATATGTATCAAGTTTTCATGATTTAAATGATTATTTATTAAATGTTACTTACATAGGTTTGTATGAATTCTGAAAAAAGGGTACTTGTTAAATCAAGACCATATTAAACTAAAACCATTAAAAAATTATTTACTTTTACCCTCATACTCTTCATTTATTTACAGTGCAGATCTGATTACTTTGTGATGAACATCAAATCCCATAGTCTTGATGTTCTCTTCTTGGGTCATAAGCAAGGGTCTTCTTCCCCCAGCATGTGGAAAGATCTTGGTAGAACTATCTTGGAGACATGAGCATTAAACTGCTTTCAGAGTTTAGGGTGGGGGAGTCTGTCACAGCTTAGGCCATACTGGTCTTTGGCCAGACATAGTCTGAAGTGAGTAAGGGGAGGTCAGGCCCAGCATCTGTGGAAATGGAGGTTTCTTTGGTGTGAGAAGGCAAATCCATGGAAGGACACTCAGAAGGCAGCAGTTTGTTCAAGAGACCACTCAGGAGGACTACTCTCTGGGGAATGCAGAACTAGGGCACATCAATCTATAAACATCTCTGTCCCAATTTAGGCCAGCCTACTGTGTACAGCCACAGGCCGAAGGGACATGCGGGAGGTCAAAGGCATCTGGAAATTACTAGTCTTCTTGGGCTTTGATGATCTAAGCTACTGAGAGTCCTGGGGAAACTTGAAACCTAACCAGGCCTGTGGAATGGGAGACTTTATGAATTTCTGTGGCATAATCCAAAACTGTCAGTCAGGGTATTCCTAAAATTCAAATTAAATCTGTTCTATCTCATTGATGTTGACTACCTCTGATTGTGCTCCTATTGCAATTTAGGATCAGGTTACTTACTACTTTCCACTAAGAACCCTTCATGTTCTTATAGCATTTAAATCTCTCTTTTGATCATTTTTTACTCTTTAATCTTGTTTTACTTCTTCACTTAGCCTTTCTCTTCCCTGAATTTACCCATTTTTATGTTGTAGTTTCCATCTAGTCATTGTTCTGACAATGTTTTAGTCCTTCCAACCATCCCTAGCCTGGGCCAATGACTCCAGGCCCAGCATGGCACATACTGGCAGTGGGACCTGGACTCTACTCACTTCATCTTCAAAATCTGGAGATTGAAATCATTCTTTTTTTTTTTTTTTGAGTTGGAATTTCACTCTGTTGCCCAGGCTGGAGTGCGGTGGCACGGTCATGGCCACCACAACCTCGATCTGCTGGGCTCTGGGCTTCCAAGTAGCCTTCCAAGTAGCCGGGACCACAGGCACTCACCACCATGCCCGGCTAATTTTTTGATTTATTGTAGAAATGAGGTCTTGCCAAGTTGCCCAGGTTGGCCTTGAACCCCTGGTTCAGGCAATCCTCTCACCTCTGCCTTTGGAGGTGCTGAAATTACAGGTGTGAGCCACCGTGCCCAGAAAAATAGCTCACTTTTAAGATCTTGTTTCAGCTCCAGCAACCAAATTACTGAGTCAATTCAAGGACAACACCTTTATTTCATCACATAAAATACATTATTAGTGCAAAAAATTAATTGGTTAAAATATGTGCAAGATACTATACAGTGTATATGGATTAATAAAAAGCTAGTGTACTGGTGATATACTCAGCTTGCTAGTTGTCAAATTAGGGTATCCTCTATAAAATTTTAAATTGACCACTAGTACTGATGACATGGAGTGCCCAACTTGGAAAGACTGTGGAATGTGTAAAGAGTGAACTTCAGTTGTATACCACCTTTATGTAGGTTAAGACTTTAGAAATGGTTGTTATGAACACCTAGCCTGGTGCCCAGCCTACCAAAGGCACAACTGAGCACATGCAGCGCTTAGTGAATCTGTGGCATCCTCTCATCACTGCACGTGTTCCTTCTCCTTGGGGCTTCTTCAGATGGGCAACGATGAGTCTTCTGTCTGCAGAGTTGGGGCCATCTCATCCCAGAGAGGGACTCAAAGATGGCACCTCAGAAAGGCATTACTTTTTCTTTTTCTCCTTTTTTTCTTTCTTTCCTTTCTTTTTCCCTTTATCCTTGGCCTTGTCTGTGTCACCTCCTGTTAAGGCCAAGACACGCTTTTTACCCAGAGGGGTTTTGGCATACCAGTTCTGAAATCAAATAGAAGTTTAGGAAAAGATCAGAAAGACATGGATTCACTGCCACATTCCTAAAAATAAAGAAAAACCTGCCAAGAAGGAAGGGCAAGCAGCCACTGTACTTGGGTATTTAATGCATGCTCAATACAAACTCTTTTTCTCAGCGGCATTTCCAACCTATATTTCTGCATGATTTGAAACTCCTCCCTCAGAGTTAGCAGCTAAATCTAACCAACAATCCTTCCCCACAAAGTTGCCTATTTTCCTGGGCATCTTACTGAGTCCCAAGGGTGGGTTTTCTTGATGATGTGAACGGTCTCCACAGTTCACACATGGCCACATTGTATGAACAATGGCTGGCCATTCCAATGCTCTGAGGGAGACACTATTGAAAACGTGGTGGAAATTTATGAAGCCCAAATACCAGCCAAGCACTTAGTGATTGTGATTGGCCCCATAATGGCATTTTTCTTCAACTTCACATTTTATTTGAAACTTGAGAAACATTTTGGTTTATAAATTTTATAACAGAATATTTCACTGAATGATAATAGTACATGTTATTTATCAAAACACATAGGACATTTTGAATTTTTGGTTATTATTTAATGATGCTGCAGTTCACAATTTTCACACGTCTCCTTGTATGCATGTGAGAGAACTTCTCTAGGGCATATGCATAGAAATAGAACTCCTGGGGTTGTAGGGTATGAATATAGTCAATTCTACTTGATGTTGCCAAATTGTTCTCTGAAGTGCTGTGAGTGGGAAACTATCTCAGTCTCCATATGTTTTAAAATGTCCATTTTTTCCCAACTCTTGGAGGCTAGTTTAACTGGATACAAATATTAAGAAATAGTTGTTTTTCCTCAGCACTTTGCAGATATTATTACACTGTCTTCTGATATCTGTCACTGTCAAAGAAATGTCTGATTTCCCAATTGTTTCTTTGTAGGTAATCTGGTAGCTTTTAAGATACTTCTCTGTGGCAGCCTGTCAAGTGTCCTGATTTTATGCAGTTCCAACATTCTGTCTTATATGGGCCTGATGTTACCTTTCTTTTTTTTCGAGTTGGAGTCTCACTCTGTCACCCAGGCTGGACTGCAGTGGCATGCTCACAGCCACCGCAGCCTCGACCTGCTGGGCTCAGGTGATCCTTCCACCTCAGTCTTCCAAGTAACTGAAACTATAGGCACGTGCCACCATGCCTGGCTAATTTTTTGATTTATTGTAGAGATGAGGTCTTGCCAAGTTGCTCGGGCAAGTCTCGAACCCATGGGTTCAGGCAATCCTCTCACCTCGGCCTCCCACAGTGCTGGGATTATAGGCATGAGCCACTGTGCCTGGCTGATGTTGCCCTTCCATCTTACATGGGCCTAATGTTACCTAACATTGCCTAATGTTAAAAACCCAAAGAAGGCATAGGTTATAGTTTCCTAGGCCATCAATGCATTAGTGCATATGGTTGTTCTGTCTTTGAGATTTATTTCTGCTTCTGGCACTTGGGAATTTCCTCTTCCTTCCTGTGGCCTTGGCTCTGTTTTTAATGTAAGATGTGGTGGCCACGTACTTAAGGTGATGAACTCCTAATTTATTGAAACAGCATAGAATATAGTTCGTAATATTGGCTTTGGAGTAAGGTATGAATTTTGGCTCTGCTACTTTTTAGCTGTGTGACCCATAGCTCTTGTGTTGTTTATTTTATTGCTGCTGTGGCAGATTACCACACACCTAGTGGTTTAAAACATCACATATATTATCTTACAGTTCTGCAGGACAGAAGTCTGAAATGAGTCTCATTGGGTTAAAATCAAGGCATCTGCAGTATTGCATTCCTTTCTGCAGGCTCTGGGTGAGAATATGTTTCCGTGACTTTTGCAGCCTCCAGAGTCCACCTGCTTATCTGACTCATGGTCCCTGTACCCTCTCTAGGTAGCAACGCTGGGCTAACTGGAGTACCAACGAGTCCTTCTCAAGCTGCTCTTTCTGGTTCTCTCTTCTGATTCCCTCTTCCACTCTTCATGATTACATTGGACTCACCAATTTAATTGGTGAGTTAATTATAGGTTAATTCAGGATAACCTATCTATCTTAAATTCATCTGATTAGCAAACTTATTCCACCTGCAACCTTCACTCCCTTTGCCATGTAGCCTAACATATTTACAGGTTCTGGGGAGCAGGATGTAAGATCTTTGAGGAGCCATTATTTTGCCTACCATACCTCTCTCTATATCTGTTTCCTTACTTGAAAAAATGGGGGATTGTGAATTCTAGGTGAGTTAATACTGTGGCTGGCACATAATTAGCAGTCAATAAGTATTAGCTAACATTATCATAGTTATATCATCATTATTGTTAAATATTTTCTCCAGTATATCCATGGAGCAGGATAGAAGGTGTCTAGAGAATCTGCAAGCTCTTAGTCTGATACATTGTCAGAAGCTCCATTAGGTAAAATGTCTTGGGGTTTGTCCCATAATGAGCAACCACAGCAATAGTATCACGTTTTTCAGGAGTGTGATGGTGTCATATCCATGTGCTCAATGAATGTGTCCCAAACAAATTTATTGGACATCCACCTGGGCAGACCTGGTGCCAGGCACTGGTGCTGTGATGGAAGCAGAAATGGATTGGGGGGGTAAAGGATAATGATGGGAAAATGATTTTGTTTCCTTAAAAAATGAATAAAGTGAATAAATACACCAAAAGTGAATGTGACAAGCACATGCATTCTCATCCCAGGTCATAAAAATGGAAGTATTCTCTTCTCTTGAATAGTATGATCAGACCTCAAACTCCTACACCAGACAGAAAAACTTCTGGTGATCACTTCAGAAAATTAAAAACCCAGCTAGAGAAAAGCATAGGTTTTAACACCTAAATCTAATTCCTCAAAATAGGGCCAAATTAAACATTTTAGAAAGGAGAAAAAAATAGTAAATTTCAGAAAATAATATGATATATCATTTGAAGAGGATAAATGCTTGCAATGACAATGTATAAGCTTTAAGCAGCTAACAAAAATATTAATTCAAATGCTTGGCAAAAAAAAAAAACAACTCAGCTGGAGTTATCTTTTTTTTTTTTTCTGTTAGTACGGCATCAGCAAAATATGGCTGATGGGTCAAATTTGGGCTATTGCCTGCTTTTGCAAATAAAGTTTCATTGGAACCCAGCTACGACCATTAATTTATATATTATATATGGATACTTTTATTCTATCATGCAGAGTTGAATAGTTGTGATAGAGACTGCATGGCTCTCAAAGCTTAAAATATTTACTATCTGGACCTTTAGGGAAAACGTTTGCCAACCCCTGTGCTAGGTCATTATTGCTGGTGTTATTATGCCTCTTTTTCACCTTTCAGTGAAGCATTAGGCAAACCAGGAAGGAATCAATTTTTATTTAGGCTTATTAGAAAAGTGATATGGCGGAGAGCAAATTTTTTTCTAATTGTAAGCAGGCTTGAGAAATAAAGGTTTGAATGAGAATTTTGATTCTCTTTTTGGTGATTGCATGACCAGTATTACAGTGGCCTTCAATTGTAGACATATAATTTTCCTTCCTTGTCTTTGAAATTGGCCAAGGAAACTTCAGGTATAGAAAGGGAACACCACTGTATTCATTTTGATTTAAAAGAGAACAAGTAGAGTTTGAGAAGTGCCCACAGGCCCAGGCATCAGGGACTTCGGGTCTACCTTTGTGTGTCTTGGACTAGCTATATAAATGGGCAAAGCATGGAACTACCAACAACTTTGTGTTCTCCAAAAAAAGGGAGAGCTGGAAGAAATGATTCTCAGAGTTTCCTTCAGATCTAAAATATTATTTGAATATGTCAGAATGAAAACACTGAAAAACAAAACTTTAGAGAGTTTCCTCATGTTTTTTCTATTGCAAGTAACCTAAAAACTGAAGTGTACCATGGCAATTGTGGGACAAAGCAGCATTGTCTTAAAATATGCTATCGAGGAAATGGTTGTCTCTATGCAAAACTTGTTCCACAATAGCAAATTTGAAGTAAAAAACCAAGATAAGGGCATGTGAGTATATGTGTTTGAGTCCAATGGTTTTGAAGGTGCTACTCAATTCGGCTATTTGGCTATTAATAAATAAGGTTCCAAACCATGATTTTCCTGAAATTTGGAAGACACTTGCTTTACTGCTAAAGCTTGAAAAATTTCATCATCAAAAAATGTCAGTTTCCAAATTTCATTGTATATGGCAGAGCTCAATACCCAGTAAACCCAGGAAACCAAAGGGAGGAGATAATATGAAGAGTGCTGCTAAGATTTGACCATCAAGGTGTTCTGCTTACCTTAAAGCTCTCTTCTTCCTCTTTGTACACTGGGTTCATGCTGGTCATTGCCATAATGAACTCAACTGCAGTGAGTGGTTTATGAGCTTGCTGCAGGATTCGCCGGTCTGTGAGCACATCTTTAACCACTTTGACTATATGTCCTTGGGTGAAGCCATCAGTGACTTTTGCAAGGCAACTGATATTCAAGGCATTAGTAAGGTCTCCTCCATTGCGTTGAATGATTTGTTTCCACAAAACTGTTGCATCCAACATGGCAGAAAAGGCACAGAGAACAAGGGTTACCATAGAGAAAGGAGGGCCAGTCTAGCTCTTGGTATAAAGTTGCATCTCTTCAAGAAAGGGATACATAGGAAGTCCACTCCAATTTATATGTAATTCAAATGAGCAGAAAGCCAAATAACTAATGCTTTCCTCTATGGAGTTTTCAACCATAAGAAACACATATTCATGGCCCTAAGGTCTATAGACCCACAAGTCCCCTGAAAATTTTGGCAAGGAAAAAATTAAACCACAGTGAGTACAGTTCTGATGTGGCACCCAGTAAAGATGTTTAAAATCTTTCAACACTGGAAATTCACACTGGGTGTATATGGCATCTGTTCTCATCAGAATATTATATTTCCCAAATAATTTTGACAAGTATTTTGACTTATTATGGTTTTTTAGTTATAAAGTTTATTTCTGGAATTAGAATGCATATTCCAATTTCTATTAGTTTCTGCTAGGCTCTGTTCCCTTTGGGTGTACGATGCTGTATTAACACTGTATTATAGTGTATTAAATAGGGCAATTTGACCCTTATTCTTTTCCCCTCAACAACCGTAAACACACATTGGTTGACTAAAATCCGCCAGCTGGGTGTGTAGCTGCTCTCTGGGTTTGTGGGACCTGTGGTGAATGAAAGATTTCAATAAGAGCACAGGGATGTTGTGAAAATGAAATAATTCTTGATGCTTCACTTTAGAGACAGAATGAACGCTGGTACAACATTAAAAATAATCTTTCATTTGGAGAATTACATTCCCTTGTGAAGAGAACTACAAGGGAATTTGTGAAGGAGATTTTCTGTAATGTATTTAATGGTATCCTGACAGTGAGGAAGGGTGAAGGGCACTCACAGGACCAGCTGCCTCAGTATTAGAAGTTAGTCTCAGCATTGAGACTGTCTAGTCAAATGTCTCTATGGTATTTTGATCTTATGTGAGGACTATTTGAAACTGTTTTTTAAAAAAATGACCATTGCTACTTGATCTGAGCAATTTCAGATCTGATAAAGGGTTAATTCTGGGTCTGTTAAATGATGGCATCACTCAATTACATTTACCCAAAAATGAGTAATAAAATGAAAATATCTACGTACTGTAAAGGCATAAAACTACTTGTGATAGAACTATGAACTACATCAGAGAGCTGGCTTTTGGGCCATGAGTTGCTCCAGCAGCTTACACTCACTGTCCTCTTTGGTGGGTTTTCTGGCTCTCTGGGTGAGATGAGTTGCTGGGAAAGGGTAACCTGTACCATGAGGCCTCCCGGTTTCTCCGAGCTGTGGGTGATTGGAATCATGGGTGTGGAGACCTGCCGTGAGACCAACAAGGGACACAGGGACCCCAAATTGGTCTCATGCATCATCTAACCCCCTGAACCTACTCTGTAACTTCCTTGGTGAGTTTATTTGAGCTTCAGCCCTTAGTCCTCCTCTCTGCAGAACAAGAGTAGTAGAAGGATTTAAAGTAGAAAAAAGCACAACAGTGTATATGAAGCACTTGGAAGAAGAGTACCACCCTTGCATAGGGTGGGTACTTGACTTTCTGTAGCTATATTACTGTTGTGATCACAATGATGCTATTCTTCTTCATTCCATCTTGCATCCAAGTTTCCTAATCCTCATTAAAACATCAATTATAAAAGCTAACACAAAATAAACTACAGAATATTTCAAAGCATGTTTTTGTAAAGATAGATTGTGGCAGATAAGGACTATCCTTATCTCAATATAACCATTGTAGAGTTAGAAATCAGAAAGTATAACCCACAGTAAAAGTTATAAACAATAACCAGACATTATCACTTGAGATCTGGTATGTCTTCTGTCCAAATTAATAACATCTAAATAAAGTACCAACAGGTCTGAGTGGTCTCTGGGAGCTGAGAAGGGAACATGGTTTATAGGAGAGTCACAGGTGAGGCCCCAAAGCCGAAGTAGATATCCCAGGCTGGGCCGTCAGAACAGCTTCAGTCCTGGGCATGCCTGGGCAAAATTCCTACCTATGGCATGAAAAGAAATCATCAGTAGACGAGTGGCGAGGGCCAAGTGTTCCCAGTAACAAACAGCTAACTAACTCCCTTGCCTCCCTGTTAAGCTACAATAGTCACAGTCTTGGAAGTTTCCTGTCCAAAGCATCCAGTCTTCTAATAGGTGATTTATTTCTCAACAGGTAAAGATTCGTTAGTGATGGAGTACAAATACTCTGGTATAGTATCCACATGTAAATACACTAACGACTATTTAAAGAGTGTAATACTTGATATTCCTGGAAAGTTTTGGTCAAGATTCTTCCAAATACATAAATCACTGATGACTTTCCAAAGGTCACCATTTTTTAAAATGGAGTTGCAATCAGAGAGCTGTGTGAGGCAGTCAGCGCTATGGTGACACAGTCATCTTAAGATCCAGAGAGTGAGATGGAGAACCAGGTTTGAATTCCTTCTCCTGGTTGATGAACTCAGGTGATTAGCCTTTCAGGGAACAGCTTCTGTTGTTTCTACATAACCACCCGCTCATGGGTTCGTGACACTTGGCTGATCTGGGGCCAAGGGGTAGAGTCAGGTGTGGAATGGGGCACAGCGTGTGGGCTTGGTGGAGATAGGAGCCCCACAGTGAATATTGGAGGTCAGCAGGTTGCTGAGTCTCTGGCCCAAGAGTGTAGGTGGGGGGCACAGACACACTGTAGTGGGGTGCAGCAATGGCAAGGACCAAAACCAGGGACCCAAGAGTGCCAGGAGCAGTGGAAAGGGTCTCTGGGTTGAGTGCTATATTTTACTTTCTCCTCTTGGATGCAGAAGGCTCCTCACTCCTCTTTCCCTTCTTTAGAACATGTGGTCTTGGTCTTCCCTTCATCTGCTTTTGGCATTCCTAACTGAGTCCATTTTGGCTAGTGCTTGAGATGATGTAGTATCTCAAAATTCATTCTTATCTAGGATTTTACAAAAACTTGAGAGGCAAATAATAGGATTTGGGTGAGCTCTGACCCTCTGAAGCCTAGAATTCCAGAAAAATCTGAAGATATACACTGGACTCTTCTGATCAGACCCTGGGTCCAGGAGGGACCTGTGATGAATTGGGTTATTAGTGAAGCAGACCCCAGGGGAAAGAGACAAGAGAAGGGGAGCATTAGGAATGTGGAAAGAAGGGAGCCCAAAGGGATTTCTGGGGACTAGACAAGGCATTAATCAACCTGGGGGGGGGGGTGAATTTTCTTTGCAGAGACAGTTAGATTTGGGGCAGGGAGATAGATATTGAGTTATATTTAGTAAACCTTAAGGACTGTGTTTCCTCTGCTGATCCCCCCCTGGGCTTTTCAGTGCTGTTATTCCCCACACTGTCTGGAGGAATTTGGGAAGTGGGGATGTGGAGGCTCCTGCACATCTTTGGTGCTCTGCTGGGCTAGATAGATGGCCAAGCAGTGGTCTGCATTATGGATTTGCAGGCTATGCTTTATGGGTTAGAAGAGGCCATTTTTGATCACTGTAAAGACAGGAAAGTCTTTCTTTAAGATGGATGCCCCAGCCGCTGTGGCTATGAAATCTTCAAGGTCACAGGAGGAAATGTTGGACAGTGTTTATGATGTCGGCAAGAATGGCGACCCGAACAAATCACCTACCGAGAAAGAAATATGTGAGAAGCATGTAGTTTAGTGGACAGAGCCCCAGGCCCAAGAGAAGTGTTTTGTACAGGTTTATCATCTGCCCATAGGTGAAGGGACACTTTCTCTCCTTCCTCTCCCATCATGATGCTGTGAAGAGATTGAGGTAGGAATCTGTAATGTGATCTGAATCCTAAGGGATGCCTGGCATTTTATCAAAAGAACAAAATTGCCAGCTATACATCAATGGCTTCAGTTTTAAAGGGTCTATAGTTTTGTCAAACAAAAGAAACAATTCAATCCAAAGTCAGAAATAATGCTCTAGCCCCTTCAAATTAATAATACCCTACCTCATTCCATTAAGATGGCTTAAAATATATATACAATATAAAAAAGAGAAAAATAAAAAAAGAGAGAGCACGAGAGGAGAGAAAGCTCTGATAAAGCCAGGTGTGTAGAATCTTCGACACTGACTGCATATAGACTGTGGCTGAGACTGCAGGGGCTCTCCCATTTCTGCACTGTCCCTTTGCTTGATGGATATCCTTGCCCTCTTGACCCTTCGTGGAGCCATGTGATTCATTCTGGCCAATGTGGATATGACCAGAAATGTTGGTCCCCTTTCTGTCTAATCCTTAAACTCTCCTGTGATGTCCTCCATCCTGTCTTACCTCTTTCCTTTTGGTGCTGGCTGGATGCAAGGAATCTAGCAGAAGGTTTTGAGGCCATAAAAGATAGAGAAGCCACTAGATAAATGGAGAAATAGCTGGGCCCCAAATTGTCCTGTACAATGTGTATAACATTTGATTTATGAAACCAGGATCACAATTTATCAAGACAGAAATAAACACATGCTGCAAATAGAGTGGCTAATACGCTAGCAGTTTATAATCTATGGGGAGTAGAGGGTTGTTCTTTCAGCAAATAAAATTGACCAGAAACTTAGGAGCAACCAGATAGGATCATCTATCCCTTCTGTTTTGGTGGTGCTCATGTGATTGGAGGATTAATAGACACCAAGTCTGACCTAATCATTGTATTACTACTATGAATGCTAACCACCACTACCACACCATCACTTCTACCTCTGCTGCTACTATCACAGTGACCACCATCATCATGTGACCACCCACCATTACTACTAACCTCCCCAGCATTACACCGCACTGTTGCCACTACCACCACTTCTACCACTAATGCCAGTGTGACCACCATTGCCTCCATTAGCACATGCCGTCACCATCTCCCTATGCCACCATTTCTTTTTTTCTTTTTTACATATATTTATTTAAAAGATGTGGGGTACAATTCAAGATTAGGTATACAAGTGGGCATCATACAGGTAAAGTTGAGGCCTCCTGCTGGGCTCGGTGGCTCAGCCTGTAATCCCAGCACTTTGGGAGGCCGAGGTGAGTGGATTGCCTGAGCCCGTGGGTTTGAGACCAGCCCCGGCAACTTGGCAAGACCTCATCTCTACAACAAATTAAAAATTAACTGGGCCTGGTAGCATGCACCTGTAGTTACAGCTACTTGGAAGGCTGAAGCGGAAGGATTGCCAGAGCCTAGCAGGTTGATGCTGGAGTGGCCGTGAGCATGCTACTGCACTCCAACCTGGGGTGACAAAGTGAGACTCCAACTCAAAAAAAAAAAAAAAAGTTTGGGCCTCGCTTTGGCCCCCACTTTGCCTGGTTTGAGATCAGGTACCCTTATTGATGTTGTGTCGCCCCCATCCCCACCCCACCAGTATCCTGCTACTGCCAATCAATTTCTGATAGTATCATGGTAAACGTTCAGGGTCCATCTCCACCATTTCTAACACTGACAGCACTGTCACTATCTCAACACCAAATCTCTCATCACTTCCCTCACCACTGCAGTGTTAAAGATGGCCCCTCCACGAGCCATACCTGTGGTATTCATAAAATCTGTGTCATCTGCTGTTTTTGAATCTGGGCTGGCCCTGTGACTACCTCTTAATCAGTAGAGTGTAATGAGGGTGATTCTGTGTAACTTGTGAGGCTGGGTCACAAGAATCCTTTCAGTTACTGCTTGAACCTTTTGAAATGTGTGCTTGTGAGATAGTCCCTTGCGGGACCCAGCCACCATGTGTGCAAAAACCCCATGGAGAAGCCAGGTATAAGCCGACTTCTTGACAGCTCCCAATGGACACCCACTGATGGCTAGCAGCAACTCCATCTCATGGGTGAACTGTCTTAGATGTACACACTATCTAGTCTTCAGCCACTTGAACCCTAAATGACATATGACCCCCATCTCCTGAGGTACCATAAGGAGCCAGAGATACCAGCTGAGCCAAGTCAACCCTCAGAACCACAAGAGGGAATGACTTGCTGTTTTGAGCCATTGGGGGGGGGGGTTCAGACAGCAAAATATCACAGTAACTGCCACCAGCACTGTTACCAGCTCCTGTTGTCATTTATCACATCATTTCCTCCTCCAAAGCCCATGCCACCCTCTTCTCTTCCTCTGTCTCCACACCAAGGCTGTAGACACCCCTGTTCTCCCAATGCCATGGGGCGGGGTTTTCTGCTAACTATTCACCTGAGGGCCACAGCAGCCCTGTGGCCTCAACAGTTCTCCTATGTCCCAGATGAGAACATGGGGGCTCAGAAGAGTGATTGACTTGTCAAGGTCACCCAACTATGAAGTGGCAGAGCCAGGGTTCTAAATCAGGTCTTTTGAGAGCCCCGATTCCACAACTCTTTCTAATTTTATTGTGCTGTCTTTCAGGGCATTTCTTTTGTATTGTCCCCGTTTAAAAATATGTTTCAAAAGGAATGGATTTTTAATCTGCCTACACAAGAAGAAAGAATATTAAAAGTCAGCTCTTGTTGTATTTAGTGTTTAAGTCAACATGCCACTGGACTAGACTTTGAGACTGGAAAAACAAAAACAAAAACAACCCAGTGAAAAGAAACAGTGTTCTACGAGAAAGACACCATCACCATGGGTGCAAGATGAATGATCCTAATCTACCTGTCCACAGAAAAATTAGCAGCCACAAGAGCTTTTCCTGCCACCAGGGCCAAAAAGAATAACTCCCATTCAGTTTTCTTTTGGCTTGGGTAAAGAGGAATATGCTAACAGCAGAATAAAGACACATTGCCTCTCTCTTCTGACCCAGTGTTTACACCTATGGCATGTGTTCCACGTTAGCTTCAGGTGTGCACACCCCTGGGGCACAGGCTCTACCCAAAGCATCTGATGCTCACGGGTCATGAGGACCATCCTCCTGGCCCCACATGCCTGCAAGCACACAATGTATAGCCCAGCACCAGTTACCTGCATGGGAAGGGGTTGGGGTACTTGCCATATCTGGAAGCATAGTCTGGTCTGGGAACCAAAATAATTTTTTGGTAAACTTTGCAGAAAGATTGAAGTTCAGCATCAAAAGGACGCTGTGTTGTCCCCACAATTAGAATCCTATCTTCCGGTTTCAGGAGTTTCAGAATTCTTGGAAGCTGTTTTTTCAGACGTTTAGGGTCATTCTGAGAGAAAGAGAGAGGGGGAAAAATTGACCCACATATAGAAAAAAGAAGAAAAAACAAAAGTATTATTAGTCTTAGACTATACTGTGGCATACATTTGTTAAAGTGATTTGAAAGCTCTGAAAAACACAATTTCTTAAAGTTTGTTCTGGGACACGTCTTGGAATGTGCTTCCTAGTTTGACTGGGTGATTTTAAATTGTCAGCATTTCCTTTCCTCAATCTCTGGTATCCAGATTTGGAAAGTGGGAAGGAAGGAAACACCTGAGTGGACATTTGAGCACCTCGACCTGAAGAATGGGAAATAGTGGCTGATTTCCAAGCGGAAGGAAGCTTGCTGGGACTTATAATTAGTTTTGGTACTCCCGTTTTCCTGAGTTGTTTGGAAGGTGAACTCAAGACTTCCTTTGCTGACTGCTGTCACAATAAGGCATCAAGGTCCTGTGTCTCATGTCTGCAAAATTCCTGGTTACATAAGGTTGTACAACTTATCTCTGAAGCAGTTTAGAGATAGTTTGAACCTGTATTATTTTAGTATAATCTCAGAACTAACAAAGCAGAAGAGTGAGTGAGGACGGGCTCTCTGTTCAGTACCCCAAGGAGGAGGATGACTTCCAGCAGTGGGAGTCAGATCTGGCCATATTGCCATGGGCAACAGACTGGCTGTAAATTAACCTCCCCAGGCACAGACAAGCGAAGAGGAAGCACGGGAAGGAGGAGATCGAGAGTGGTGATGGCTAGAGCTTCCATAGAGATGTCCCAAGCACAGTCTTGGCCATTTTTGCTCCCATTTGGCTAATGGCTAATGATGTTCATCTTTTCATGTGCTTATTAGTCATTTGTATATCTTCTTTGGAAAAATGTATATTCAGATTGTCAGCCCACTTTAAAAGTTGGGTTATTTGTCTTTTTATTATTGAGTTGCAAGAGTTCTTTTTATGTTCTGGATAGTCTCCTATCAGTACATGGTTTGCACATATTTTTCCTATTCTGTGGATTGTCTTTTCATTTTCTTGATGGTGTCCTTTATAGTAAAAAAAGTTTTAGATTTTGATGAGGTGCAATTTTCATTTTGTTGCTTGTGCTTTTGGTATCATATTTTAGAAACCATTGGCTAATTCAAGTTCACAAAGATTTATGCCTACATTTTCTCTTAAGGGTTTTATAGTCTTGGTTATTATTTTTAGGTCTTTGATACACTATGGGTTGATTTTTATATGTGGTGTGAGGTAGGGACCCAACTCATTCTTTTGCAGTTGGCTATCCAGTTGTCCCCCACTGTTTGTTGAAAAGAATATTCTTTCTGCTGCTGACAAGGTGCAGTTCTATTAGTAGGGATGGAAATAAGTGGTATGCTCATTTAGTCAGCGACTCCTTTGCACTCAGGACACCACTGTTCCAGTTCAGAGGTTCCCATTATGCATAAGACCATGTGCTCATCGATCACACCAGCAGACGTCCCCACGAATTGTCTTGGCACCCTTGTAAAAAAAAAAAAATCAATTGACCCTAAATGTAAGGGTTTACTTCTAGACTCTCAATTCTATTCCATTGATCTATATGTCTCTCCTTATGCCAGTACCACACTGTCTTGATTGCTGCAGCTCTGTAGTAAGTTAGGAAATGAAATTGGGAAATGTGAGTCCTCCAACTTTGCTTTTCTTCTGAAGATTGTTTTGGCTGGGCTCCTTGGATTTTCATATAAATTTTAGGATCAGTTTACCAATTTATGCAAATAAGCCAGCTGGAGTTTTGATGGAGATTGCATTGAATCTGCAGATCATTTTGGAGATTATTGTCATCTTAATAATATTAAGTCATTCAACCCATGAATATGAAATGTTTTTCCATTTGTTTTGGTCCTCTTTAATTTTTTTTAACAATGTTTTGGTTGTTTTCAGAAAAATCTTGCCCTTCTCTTGTGTCAAAGAAGAACTTTGTGAGAACAGTTTTGAGGGATCGGTGAGGGCAGCAAGCTGATGGTAGTGGCTTGAGGAGTGAGTGGGAATGGTGAGAAGAAACTAGTCTTTTAAGAAGCTTGATGGAGAACAAAGTGGGTGGTGAAGGCAATTGCCACATGTGGGGGCACATGCAAGCTATTCAAATGCTAGTGGAAGAGGGACTGATCTGAGGGTTCTGGTGAGGCTGGAGACTGAGACTCCCATGGAGGTAGACACATGCCTGTATGAGCTGAGTTCATCTCCAGCAACCCAGTTGCCATGGTGATGGCAGTGTGGTCCCTGCCCTTTCTGAGGCAGGAGATGATACTGCTACCTGCATGTCCTGCAATAGCAGGGACATTTGAAATTAATTAACCTATTTGGATAACAAATGTTGATCCTGGGCTGTGTCCAGAATGACATCCTTGCTGATGGTGAGGTGCAGTTTCATTAAGTAGGGATGGAAATAAGAGGTGTGCTCATTCAATCAGCAGCTCCTCTGCACTCGGGACACCACTGTTCCAGTTCAGAGGTGCCCATTATGCACAAGACCTGCATACTCATCGATCACACCAGCAGACATCCCCACTATCATCTGGCAACCTCCACAACTGCCGCCCCTACTGCTGGGCCTGCCAGCCTCTCACAACTGTATTACTGTGGGCAATTTCAAATTAGTGGCTAGCATTCACGCAGCAATTTCAATTTGCTTTTCTGCAGTTAGCGCCACAAAACAACCGCCACAGCCAGCCCCAACAAAGCAAGCAATTCCCTTGTGGAGGCACTATTGTGATGTCAGGGAAAGCTCTTGCTAGATGAAGTAACAAAGGGTAATGGTGCAGAAAATGTAGGAGCAGACTGTTTTGCCTCATTCTTTCCTGCTTTCGTCTCATACACAAACAACTGACCGATTGCATTCTAGCTGCAGATGGGAGAAGGCGATTGCTCTTCTCCCAGGAGGGGGAGAAGGGGAAGAGCCCAGTCCAGGTGTCTGTCAGGGGCAGGGCTGTGTTTGTAAAAGTGGCAGGGGTGGGGGGCACTTGGAGTTTGGACTTTCCTGGAATTCCAGAGGTATAAGGGCTTCTCAAGCGTTGTTGAAGACAACATGAAGGGGACAGGGTGTGGCAGGAGGATGGAGAACCCTGGAGCAGTTCCCATTTGGCTTTAAGACAAGAAGGCAGTGTTCAGAATGAGATTTAGAGTGGACTCGGGGTGGAGGCAGGCTGGTGGGGGACACGGTATTGTATGAGCACTCTGGGAGGGCTGGCGTTATGGGAGGAAGGGAAGCCAGTGCCTTGCCCTTAGTGTCTTCCAGCCTGTGTGCCACATCCAGGTGGGGAGAAGGCCTTGGTCTCTACATTCAGTCATGTTTCTGAATCCTGGCATGACCCGGGCTAGCTATGGGCACTCTCAGAGCCCTGTGCTCTTCTGTAGGATAGTGAAAACAATGCCTCCCTCCTGGGCTGCTGGGAGTTTCCCTGACGTCGGCATTGTGCCTGGTAAAGAGACAGTGTTCAATCAGTGATCCCCTTACCCCCAGCTGCTAGGGTCCTCCTCTTCCTGCTGTAGCGGTCCTAAGTGTCAGAGTCTTATGTCCCTGCGCCCAGGAAGCCCAGCTTCCTGACAGGAGCTGTCACAGGCCAGTCTGGCCTTCTTTGCTGCCTCATTGCCTGTGACTGGCTGGGCATCATGCATTTTACCACAGGAGAAAGCCTCACCTCAAAGGTAGAGATGTTGGAAGGTGGATTCAGTCACTATGGGCTTCCAAGGGGCCTTCCTGGAGTCCCTCAGTCCAGCAGGCAGCCACCCCAGACAAGGTTGGCCCTGCTGTTCATACTGTGGCTAGAGCTAGTGGAATGCCCAACCTTCTGTGCCTCTGGGATCAGGGGAGCTTTTGGGACAGGCTGGACAGGTGGGAGAAAGGACACTGGGCTCTTCAAGTGCCCGAGAGATGCAATGACACGGTTATGATGCTTCCGGATTCCTCTCATCTGCCAATGTAGTGGCTGCCCTTGGCCTTTGGTTATCACCTTTAAGACTTGGATGTCCAGTACTCTGGGCTCCCCAGGGCTCTGGTGGCTGAGGAACTTGGGTAAGACTCGAAGCCTCAGAGGCTGGGAAGCTGGGAAAGAGAGCAGAGCTGGCACAGGCCCAGCCCTGGAGACCCATCGAGCAGCCTGAATTCTGTAGGCCTGCTCTCGTAGGCCTGCTCTCCTGACAGCAGGCCCTGCCACACCATCACCGCCTGATGGGGCTTAGTGGAGCTTGGAGTTCCCACATGGAGCTGGCAAGCCCACACGGTGTTTTCCTCCCTGCCCCTCTCCTCCTGCTGGGATCTGGAGTTGGGGGTCGGATGCTGGGGCCAGGGGTGTTTGTGCCTCATGAAGCTCTGTCTGATCCCTGATGGCTCAGGCTCCCTTGGGCAGTCTTGGGGATGTTCAGCGACCCAGGAAACCCCTTCTGCTTACTTGTATCTCCCTGAGATTTATCCCAGGGTGTGATTCCTGGTCTTCAATGCAGTTAACTCCCCAAACAGATGATAGATGCTTCTAATGCGAAGTGAGCAGAGGATAGGTATGATGTGTCCCAACAAAGACTCTGTCATCGACAGACAACCTTCGTTTCCTACAGGAGCAAGCCTGAATATGGGCAGTATTTGTGGGAATCCGGGACGGTGCTGAGAGGATATCTCTGTGTCAGCAACGGAAGAGCTGAAGCAGGGGAGGGTTCTGGAAATTCAGTTTCCTCCTCATCACTTTCATCTCCCTCCTTGGCTGGCCTCCTGCCCCTTCACGTAAACTCCCTTTATGTGAGGTGTCTACTGAACCCACATTTCATTCCCCGCCGTCAGCTCTCTCTCAAAGGCCCCCTTCCAGCCCTTCCCCAGTGCTCCTCTGGCTCTTTCATAATGAGGTTCACATTCCTCTTATTCTCCATGGACTCAGGTGGGCAGGTGAGCAGACGGCTGTAATTGCTGACGGCAAACCCAGGGCATCATGGGAGAGAATGTGAGGGAGGCTTCCAGAACTCAGAGGTTGTCCTGGCTGGAATGCTTTAATTTGATATTTTAGGAAGAGGAGGCTCAGAGAACTTAAGTTACTTGCTCAAGGACACACAGCCACATGGGTGAATGTCTGGCCTGAGTTCCAGGCCAGTGTCTTCCTACTATCCAGGTTGATGTCCGGTGGGAGAGGAAGTAGCCTCTGTCCATTAATAAGCTGGACTTCTGATAGGACCTGAAGAATGGGGCACCTTGAATCAAACACTGCCCTGCATTTCTCTGTAGATTTATGACCTGGTTTTTAGTGCTGTAATTACTGCCATCCATTTTGCATATGTATATATAGTCTTCTTTCTTTCTGCTTCAGTGCAGGAGCTTTGCCAGCAGAGGGAGCTAACTACTAGATTCCCAGATTAAATAATAAATGAGTCTTAAGAGTTTCTAAAATGACAGGGCAATCAAGGCTCATTTGGGAAAGAAAAGATTGAGCTTTCATTCTTTATCCAAATCATCTCTACCTGCTAAAAATGATGTATAATACATAAGGATCAAAAGTGATTAAAATCCTTATGAATTTAATCAGAAATTCACAGTTAACCACTATTTGCTTTGGTGCAAATTGATGTGGAATAACAATCATGTGTATCTGCAAATTTTTTTTAACTTGTGGGAAATTTGCTGGTGATTTGTGGAGGGAAATGCAGGGGAGGGGGGACCATTGAAAAGAGAGAAAAGAAGGAAGGAAGCAATTGAAACAGGGCTCCCTGGAGGCCCCAAAGGCTGTGCACTTAACAGTTCTATTGATAGTCTTTGTTCATAAATTTTGGGCCTTTTGCTATTTATTATGAGGAACAATAGGAAGTCCTAATAATAACTCCTATGTGTACCATTTGCTTTAACTGAGTGGAGTTTTCTTTTTCTTTTTTCCTTTTTTTTTGAGTGGAGTTTTCTAGATTGTTTCTTACCTCTGAATCATATGTTTGGGTGGAAAATCCCCCTCCCCTTTCCTCCATACTTTCTTTCAATTTTCTTCTAAATTATGCCTCATAAGATCAGAACATTGGATTTTTTCAAATGTAGACAAGTACTGAAGGCAGAGAGAGACCACGGCAGGGGATTTAAAAGCCCTGAACATTTCCTTCCTCCCTTGAAAAAGCAAGACCTTCTTGAAAAGTGGAGGTAGCCCCTGGTAAGGGTCCCAATTGGAGAAAAGAAAAAGCCCACGTTAAGAATGATGGAGAAGCGCTCACCTTCTTTTCTGCGATGGGAACTTTTTTGTAGAAGGTTTTTTCTGTGTCTTCGATCCATACCACAGAGGGCTGGAGCTGCCGAGCCACCTGCAGAGGAGAAAGCACGTCTTGTAAATGCATCATTTCACTTCCCACCAAGAGCAGGACTGACTGCCCTTGGTGATGGCTCCTGTGGGTGGCTGTATCACCCATCCTCGGTTTCCTCTGCAGGCGCACATTAATGCATTCTGCAGCACAGAACCTGTCCCACCAGGTCCCCTCTCTCGCGCAGCCCCCACCACCCCTCCTCCCCTCCGTGACATGCTTGAGGACAAACATTCTGCTCTAGGAGATCCCAAGTCTCCTCTTAGTTTTCCTTGAAAGAAGCCAATCATTTTCTGCTGAAAACGAATGCGAAACTGGGCCACGAGTTTTAATTACAGCCTCCTGGCCGTTCCCAGGTTTATTCAAGTTTGCTTACGATGAGAAAAGCCGTTTCAGCACAAGGGCCCCCGCCATGCTATTTGTTCATCACTGTTTGGCTGTGCCTTTGTGGCCCAGGCTCCCCTTGGAAGGCGGCTCCGCGCCCCTCTGGGCAAGCAGGGCTTCACAACCCGAGCTGGGATGGGACTTACCATGGGCCCATGAATAATTGCCACACACCTAACAATCTCTTCAAAGCACCCCTATGATCACGAAGTTCAGGTATTTTTGCAACAATTTGTGCTTTGTGCAAAATTGTGACAGATAAAAGCCATAGTGGATACAGCGTTATGTACTCCTATTTTTATATTTCTTAAAACATCATTAAGGCAGCAGGCATGATTTTAAACCAAGACAGTCATTCAATGAGTGATGGAAAAATCACTAGGGACACTGTGGCTGCGTCTGTTTCTCTGTCATTATGTCTGAAGTGGCAAGTTGGGACTATAAAGCAGATTATGCACCTTCAAAGACAGAAGTGGACACTGATTGAACTTGAGCCTTGTGCTGGTCCAACACTGGGGCTGGCTGCATTCACAGTCCCCAACATGCAAGGACATTCCGAGAGAAAACAGTACTGGCCAAGCACCATTTGGTAGGTGTTATTTTTTAGACCTAGATCTAGAGCCACAGAATTTAAGAATTCATAATCTCAAATTTTAATCCTGGTGTCTGAGGCTGTGTGACATGATAACCACAGTTAGCGAGTGGCAGGCGTGTGTCAGGCATTGGCCACATGCATTGTCCCCGGCATCACACATGGTCAGAGCCAGCACACCCAGCACCACGTCCTCCCCAAGGACTCCATGTGCATGTGACAACTCGTTCATTCACCTCAACCCTATGAAGCAGGAACCATTATTATCACCCCTGTTCACAGATGGGGAAACCGAGGCTTGACGATGTTAAGTGATTGTCTGGTTCTCCAGCTACAAAGTGACAGAAGCAGGACTGAAGGCCAGGCTGATGGCTGCTGAGTTTGTGCTGGAAGCAGAGGCCACATCCATGGTTCTCTCATCTGTAAACATGAAGGGCAAGTCCCAGAAGTGTATTTCACAGGTGGGAGAACCAGAGCCCCGAGAGACAAGTGAGGGAGTTCAGACCCAAACCCGTATCTTTGGATCCCAAAGGTCTTGCCCTCCTCCTTCAAGGGACATCGCTTCTATGTCAGGCTGAGCACCAGATCTTCCACCCCTAGTCTTCTTGAATGGAGGGAGGGTGGCCTGCATTTGTGGGTGCTTTATTTTGGCCTTGCCACTGGGCATTGATATTTTGGCACAAGAATCCGAATAGATATTGGCTCTTTACTGGTTTTAGGTCACTAGAGAAAAAGACTACGTCAATTAAAATGAATTCAATTGGACTGATTACAACAAATTTTCTTGGACCTGCCCCTGCCCTGCACACAGGGGTCTCTTTTCTCCCCATTCCATTCTCATGTTGTCACCAACACTACCTGTCACCCCTGATGAGGATGTGCACCACGTGGTTTCCCAGTTGGAGTTGTCACTGCTCGGGCAGGTGGGTCCTGCTCCTCTTGGTGTCCCCACTGGATAAGCAGAGGGCTCAAAATCTCAAATCTTCTGTCATCACAAAGGTTATTAGCTGTAACACCTGCTGGTAGAATCACCTAAAAACCTTGCTGAGATGACCTAGATGTGAGACAAACATGAAGCCAGGCACTTTGCCCTGAACTTTCATCTATGAGAAGACAAAATGCTACAGGGTAGAGGAACTCCCTCTTGTGTTCTCTCTTACTCATCTTTGATTTTTTTAAAAAAAGTATAATAAACCCAGCTCTCTGGTAGGCCAAAGCAATGTATTCAGTGGTTCTCCAGCTTGGACTTTCTGAGCCTATGAAGAAAAGTTGTGTATAAAATGCAGATTAAAAGGAGTCACAGCTGCGCTGGAAAGCCCGAGTCCTGGTCACTGTCCAGGAGAAAGTCTGGTGGGAGGGAAATTCAGGAAAAATGCAAGGTGTGCTCAAAGCCCTTTGGAAACAGAGCTCTCTGCTTTGTTCACTGATCTGATCTGTATTGATCAGGGCTGGGCACTGAGCCTTCTGCTAGTGTGGTGAGGACAGGAAGACGGACAGGGTATGGGTTCTGCTCATGCAGGGTCACCCCAAAGGGAAGCCAAGTGAAATGGGAACCCCTGACTGGGGTGACAGTACCGGATAGTGTTGGTAAGAAAACATGCTTGGGATATGGAAAAAAGAGGCCATGTGTGTGGGACAGCAGCAGGTGAGGTGGGTGGGGTGGAAGATAGATAGGGAAGCCTCTTTGTTTCCCTGAAAATTTAGTGGTTCTCATTAGGACCACCTGGAGAACTTTGAAAAATATGTCTGGGTCCCAGCCCTGGAGATTCTGGTGTGACTGGGGTGCTGCCTCAGCCTCAGCAGTTTTTAAAGTTCGTCAGATGAGGCTCAAGTGCAACCAAGGTCAGAAACCGCTGCCCTGAAGCACAGATTCTTACTATGTGCTTGCTCAAATAGAGCTAGACCTGGATGATAGGGGAGGGGGTTTCCCAGCACTCTGCCCTGGTTTCTCCGAACCCCTCAAGGCACCTTGAGGGCTGATCTCTCCACTCTCCTGTGTGCTGATGACACCCAAACGTTCATCTGGAGTTCAGGCCACATCTTCCCCAGAATGTCACATCCCCATATGGTGCCTGCCTTGGAGAAGCCTCAGAATTAAACACGGCCAATGCTAAACTCCTCTCCATCCCGCAGTCCTGCCTCCTGCGGGTTCCCTATGTAACCCCCTTCCTACCCAAACCAGAGACTTGGGTATCCACCCTTGTCTCACCCCCACACCTAACAATCCTCAGGTCTATTCACTGCACCTCCTAAACCCTTCCAACGAGGCTCCCATTCTCTCAACTCCTGGGTGTGAGACCCCTTTTCCTTCCAATCACGAGATGGATCTGAGTGGGTTCCATCCAAAGGATTATTGTTCACTAAAAGCTATTTTGAATTTAAGTCAAAAGCTTCCCCACTTCCAGTCCTGAAAGTAAATAAGAAAATGAGATGTTGTATGTAAAAGGTCTTAGACTTCCTAGAGAAAAGATAATTTGTAATAACAAGGGCAAAATTCTATTCTTTTCAGTCCTTCTTTAAAAATCTTAACTTTTAGAGTTGAAACTAGTGGAAAAACAATTTTCACATAAACAATTGTCTCTGTTAGATTGTGTACTTGCCACGACAGTGACTCAGTCCTCTGAATGTCCATTTGGCAATGCAATGGATTTTCCATAGTTCCAACTGGGGAGTCTCTACCCTCCATTTTCTCAGTCCAGCTTTTTTTAATGGGAATTGCAGATGTGTGTGTCAAATACTCAACGTTGCTTTCCTCTTTCTGCTTTTAACCAAGTCAGCTCCACAGCTGCAAGTCAGCTCCACAGCTACCTTGAGTCTTACTAACTTGGAATAGTTTTAAGACCAACAATCTTATTTCTAGCACCTGATGTAGAGTTGTTTTGAAACCTTGGTTGCACCATTCCAACTGAATGTGAAGAACTGTTCCTTTAACTTGTATGCTCCTTTAAAACGAATGGGAAAGTTCCATACTTTCTGTATGTCTTAACGCGCACCCGTGAAGGAATTCCTCTGTACCCCTCTCCCTTGTTCCCGTCTACCTGCTTTGAGGGTACACAGGATATCAGAGGATATGACTTGGAGGGGCTCAATAATTACCAACCAAAACAGAAAACACTCCCCAAGAGTGTTTTTTCATGGTGATAACAATACAACTAACTTTCATTTGCACAGTATTACAGCTATAATACTGTGTCACGTGTGATAGCCAGCCACATGTCACACTCTGTGCCAAGCACGCCCCATCTTCTTCTACCCTTTCATATGCTGAGGCAGAGTAATGTGAAGGGTGAGTAATGTGTCTGACCAGCACTAGAGAAGTGCTGGAGCCTGGAGCAGGACCTGGGTCTGCCCGACCTCCTCAAACCCGTGCATTAACCAGGCAGCTGCCACATTGCCATGGAAGACACAATGCCCATTCCAGAGCATCCTGTATCCTCTGCTATAATCTTCCATTCCAGCAGGAGGAATGCTAAAACCATCACTGTCTTGTCCTCCAGCGTGTGACTCTGATTTTCCTGACCTTCCTCTGGGGAAGCTGATGGCAAGCTGGTCACAGGACCCTGGTGATTGTGTTCAATTCTGGGCAGAGGAGAGGCATGGGGACAGGGGGAAGTCTCAGGCAGAAAATTTCTTTGAGAAAGAATCGAAGGAATAGAGACGCTTTTACTTGGAGAAGAGAAGACTCAAGGGGGTAAGTTAGCTGTTCTCAGATAGTTGAAAGTCTATCATGGGGAAGAAAGACAGGTTTTACTATTTTTGATCCAATGTAGAATAAAGATCATTCTCTCATTTCTTCCTTCATAAAACATTTGTAGAGAAACTTGGATGTGCCGGGCACTGTGCTAGGTGCCAGGCTTATAAAGATCAACAATGTAGAGTCCCCGACCTCAGGGAGTCTGCCCATGGAAGGAGAGGGTAGACGTGAGGCTGTGAGGGTAGCCCCCCAAATATGGGGTGTCACTGAGAACCACCAATGACAGAAGGGGGAGAAGAGGATGGGTGATAACCAGACTGCAGAGAGAGAGGT